AACTTTTGTGATGAAAAGGACGCCACTGTCAGATTGCACATGGTGTGGAAAGTAAAAAACACCAGAATCAAGCACCATAGTAGCATGGCTAGAGTTAGTTGATGGGACTTGAGTAAAAATACTGGACCTAGCTGGGTGTGGTGGTGCATGCCTGTATTTCCAGCACTCGGAAGGCTGAGGCAGGAGGATCATTGTGAGTTGGAGACCAGCCTGGGCTACTTAGTGAGTTCCAGGTCAGTCTCAACTACATAATGAGACCCTGTTTCAAAAAACAAAACAAAAATACTGGACCTTTTTTAGTGTCACCAGGAATGAAGCATCACTGATAACCAAAGGTCCAAAGGTCTGATGTCACCAGTCTGCCAGTCACATGCACAGTGACTCTGGGATGAGGTGGTACCCTCTGTGTCAGGAACTGTTCTTTGTGTCTGCTGTGTGGTGTATATGTATTGTCGTGTGTGGTCTGAGGATGGATTCACAGTGGTGGTGGCAGTTTGCATTGAAGGCTTGATCAGTAGCTTGATACCTTTTGATCTTATCAGACAATAGCCCTTTACTCTGAGCATCTGTATAAGTGATCCAAATGGCTCAGTTTGGAATGAAATTAATCTCCACAGTTTATGAACAGTCTTGACGATGTCCTTCTATAGTTTGCCAAGTAGAGGGCTAAATAGGTGGGCTCTTGGTAGTGGTCCAAGGGTCAGTAAAAATAAAACAATGCTTTCAAGGAGAATATTGTCCAGACTTAAGCAGTAGAACATCTTTGACTTCTGCCCATGGAACAAAGCTGTCACACTAATTTTCAGGTCTACATAGGTAGTACCATGATTGAACAGCACAGTAGCCCACTGGACCTGGAGGGTAAGGGATAGTAGCAACTTTTTCATAGAGCTGAAAAGCCTGTGTGTGGGTTAGGCTACACCTTTCTATCTTTTTTCTCTGTCCTGGATCCATCTCCCAGCCCCAGCTCCCCACAAACCCCATAGTGTTGGAGAGAGAGCACACACAAATCCCTGGGTTTAACCCTCAGTGTGTGGAGGATTGGCAGGGGGAGGAGTGAATGAACCTAGAGCCTCTGCACTGATCTATATACCCAGCCCTTTCTTATTTTTTAAATTTTGAGACAGTTTTGCTAAATCCTTTAATTGTCAGGCTTGGCTTGAGCTTGCTTTCAAGTCTTGGCCTCCCAAAGTTACAGGTCTGCACCACCTCACTTAGCAACTTTTTACTTTTTATTTTGAGACTGGGCCTCTCTAGGTTCCCCAGTCTTGAACTTAACATTTTCTTGCCTTGCCCTCCCAAATGCTGAGTGTGTGCCACCATACCTGGTTTATATCCCTTAACATTTCAACCTTAGAGCCCTGGGAGTTAGAGCTGACCACAAGAATTTTCTCTGTTCTTGGAGCTAGTTTTTCATTATTAAGTAGCTCACTTTCATCAGCATTTTAATCTAAATCCATACCTGTATGAATCCATAAGTTATGGGCCTGGGATTTAGCTCAGTGGTTCCGCTGCCTGGCCTGCCTTGCAAGCACAAGGTCCTGCGTTCAATTCCCAGTACCAAAAAAGAAAAGAGAAGAAAAAAGAATCCATAAGTTAATCCATGCACAAGGGATTTTGTGTTAGGAAAATTTCTCGAAGAGGTCCAGTGCTTTCTCATATCGGGCAGAGCTCTACCAAACATGCTGAGTTCCTTTACTGTCTTGCCCAGAGGATTAAATACTGACAAGATGGACTAGAAGGTGCCGAGCACTAAGAAACAAGCTCCATGTGCCTTACCCCCTCATCTTCAAGCAGACTAGCTGAAGACTTGCCCAGATTTGCCCACTTTAGCTGCAGCTTTCCTCCTATTCATACTCAGTGTAGATGTACATCTCTGTAACTGTTGTCTGAAAAGGGACAGAACCGTATGCGCTTACTTCCCTCCGCCAGATGAATCCATTCCAGTTGTTCATGAGCAGAGTGGCTGAGGCTTCAGTTTGGTGAGGAAGTTCATTGATGGGGGAAGAGTTGGCAGTAACCAGGGCATCCTTTAGGCCGTTGTCTTTGAATCTGCCTACTTCCTGTTACCTAGCCTGAAATTATTTCTTTCATTCAGCCTCATTAATAGGCAGTAAAAGTGGAGGACCATTCAGTAACACTTCCCATGGACTTTTCTCTATTTCTGTTAGCTGATGTTTTTCTTCCATTGCTGGAAAGCTTTGTCAGCATTCCATCTTCGTTGCCAAAACTGTCAAAAATTGTAAAGGGGCTGAGAGTTTACCCAAATTAGCTAAAAGGCTAATTTTCTATAATTTCATGGATTCTGCAGGAAGATGTGAGAGTCAGAGACAAAGAATATCATATTTATGGCAATTGCAGTAGCCTGAGTGCCAGCATTTGTGCCAGGTAAACGAGTGCTGTTTCCATAGGATATTACAAAGAGCGCCAGGAGACGGCTGCACACAGAGTTGGACTCCCAGTTTAGGGGAAGCCGAGGTCTTCTATAATGGGCAGTAAATCTTCCTGACCTTTGTTCCAGAGGCTTACATTATCTTTATTATACTTGACAGTAAATACACCTTTTGATTTCCAAGGAGACACTGTTTTCTAAAGTTGTTCATTGTGTAAACTTCTAGAACAGAAGTTCTTGTGTCTGCCTACAAGACGTTAGGATAGACTTGAGTCACTGTAGGAAAGTGGCTGCACCTTGAGACCATAATGAAGTAAACCAGACACGCAGGCTTAAATATCACATTCCCTTATATAAGAAACGCGGAATAAAGATAAAAGCTAAACAATAGGAAGTAGGGAGATAGATCATTTTCAGAGGGAAAGGGGATCAGGGATGGGCGATGGGGAGTGGGAAGGATTTGGGATGTGTTACATACATGTAGTGACTCCATACAAGGCATGTAAACATGATGTGCTGCGGACATACTCCTCCTCCAAAGGGGGATCAAGAGATGGGTGGAAAGGGAGACAGGGAGGAAGGAAAAGAGATGAAAAGAGAAATCAAGATGTATTATGAACGTGTACCCACTTCCCACAAGGAATGTAAATATCATTTACTACACACACGCACTACTAAATTAAAAGAAAAGATGTACGGAAGTGCTAGATATCCATGGAGAGGTGCTTCCTTTCGTCTTCTTTTGGCATTTGGATAGTATTTTTGATTACAACTTTTTTTCCTCATTAAAAAATTCAGTTGATGTAAGAGCGTTTTTCTTTTCAGGGGCAGGGAACTGATTCTAGGCATTGAACTAGGGCCTTGTTGCATGCTAAATGTGTGCTGCACCCCTGAGCTGTTCCCCTTGCCCGAATAGAACCTCGGTAGATTTGTTTCATATATGCCATTAAAGCTGTTCTCCCTTCACAGTACTTAACTTTTCTTTTTCCTGCTTCAGTTCAGTTCAGAATTCTGGCCTTTTCTCACCTATTTTCCATAATTGTCTGCTGACTGGTTTCATTTTTTGTAGTCTTGTTCTTTCACTCCTCAACACTCTGTCGGAGGGATCTTTTAAACATGCAGCTATGACCATGCCCCTCATATGTCATGGGTTCCCCATTATTATTGGGACAGTGTCAGTTTTTGAGCAGTGGTGTGATTGTCTTATTTTAATCTGCTATATCCTCTATTTTTTTCCTGTTTATTTTTTGTTTTAATTGAGTTAATTGATACATTTTAGATATAAGTAATGATCACATTCATCATAAGGAATTTGTACTTGTACATGATATATCTTGATTCTTGTTCTTTTTCATTTCCCACTCTTCCCTTCAGCCCCTTTCCCCCTCCTTATTTACAAAAAAAATTGTTTTTGTTTTTTGTTTTGTTTTGTTTTGTTTGTTTGTTTTTTGAGATAGGGTCTCACTATGGAGTTGAGACTGACCTGGAACTCGCTATGTAGCCCAGGCTGGTCTCGAACTCACAGCGATCCTCCTGCCTCAGCTTCCCGAGGGCTGGGATTACAGGCGTGCGTACACATTTTTTTTTTTCTGTTTTTCCTCCTTTTCACAGTGCCCTTCCCAGATTCTCATATGATGGCTGCTACCTAGATTTAAATGTTGAATAAAGTATTTTAAAATATGTCAAGATCATCATCTTTATTATTATCTTGCAGTCCTGGGGTTAGAACTCAGGTCCTCACACATGCTAAGCGAGTGCTCTACCACTAAGCTGCATCCCTAGCCCCTCAAAAATACTATTAAAAAAAAAACAAACTCTGGATTCCATTACTAGCTAAGCTTTATCACACAGATGTGTAGGCTTCGTGCTGACAGTTACAACCTTTGCTCTTTTTCCCCTTGTACGTCTTTGTCTGCAGCATGTAGTTCTCTTCTGTCTTGAACAATTTGTACATTTGTCTGTTATATGTGTATCTTTTAAATCTCTGTCCTCTGAAAGCCTTTGAGGAACCTGCTCTGGACACCTTCGGAATAATTTCAAATATCTGTGCATGTGTCATTATTACATTTTCTTCATTGTGTTCTTACTGATTTCAGGTCTACGCCCCTCTAAATAAAATGCACACTGGGCCGGGGATTTAGCTCAGTGGTTCTGCCGCCTGCCTTGCAAGCACAAGGTCCCAAGTTCAATCCCTGGTACCAAAAAACAAACAAACACATAAAATGCACTCTACTCAGAGTGGGACTCTTCTTTCTTTCCACATACTCAAGAGTTTTTAAGACGCATATTCCTTACCCAACTGTTGCTTTAGAATCAAATCTATTAACTGGTGTTTTTAATAACCCTTAAATTTTTGCTGCTTTGAGGAAATTAATTTGCTTCATTTTGAAGGGAAAGATACATATTCTCGGAAGGTGGTACAGTTCCGTTGCCTCCTTCAGTGACGGCGAGCCTTTGAGTGATGTAACAGCCCACAGCAGCATGCATGCCATAGGCTCACCACTACTGGTCCGACCATAATAGATACGGTTCAGTATATATGGCCAGTGCCTATATTATTTACTATGCCAAATAATCTTTTCTTGCTTTCCTTGTATTTAAAATACAGACTGTGGATATTCATAAAGAGAAAGTGGCTCGAAGAGAAATTGGTATTTTGACAACAAATAAGAATACATCAAGAACTCACAAAATAATAGCACCTGCAAATATGGAGCGCCCTGTAAGGTATATTCGGAAACCTATTGACTACACAGTTCTGGATGACGTGGGCCATGGTGTCAAGGTGAGGATTTGTGCACCCCTGAGCTATTCCCTTGCCCAGGTAGAGCCTTGGTAGATTTGTTTCATAAATAACATGAAAGCTTTCTCCCCTCATAGTAGTTACTTTTCTTGCGTACTCAGGAAATATTTTGGATAGGAAATAGGATGATACAGATAATGTGCTCACCTGGTACACTGTTCACTTAGTAACTAGCATAATATTTTTAATACAATATTTAATAAATACGTATTTTACTAAGCATGGAGTGGAATTTTTCTTTTGGAGTCAGTTATATTAAAAAAGATATTAAATTTTTAAAAACTGCTCAGATGTGTCACCAGGATTCTAGACTGTTATTATAAATTTGTGTTGTGAATGCCTTTTTATTTGCTTTTACTACTGAATAAATATTTTTTAAAATTACATGCTTTCTAAAGTTAGTATAGAAAATAAATTATGCTCTTTTCTTTTTGTCCCTAGTATGCATACTAGGTATCTCTGTGTATGTGGATATAATTCCAACAACTTATAAAATACAAAACTGAAATGAATTTTTTTGTGTACTCTCCTACTGTAACAAAAGGAAAGCTACCCCAGGCATTAGGAGACAGAGTATTTGTTGGTTGTGTCTAAGCGTGGAAGAATAGCTGATCTGGAAGGGTACCTGTAGTCTGTCAGTTCTTTGATATTTGCGTGTCCTTTTGCAAGCATCCAGAACAGCCTAAGTTCTTAAGCCATCTTTGCTCAAAGTAAACCATTTCTTTGAAATGTGGTTTCTTTCCTAGATAATTAAAGAGCCAGCTAGAAGTTTGAAGCTTTCCTAGCTGGTTATTGCATGAGTGCTGTTTCTAAATTTTCTGGGGTTTCTGGTTGGAGAGGAGGGTAGCCAACAACACTGACCTTTTTTTCTACTCTTCCCTGTACTTTTAAAATCTCCCCTTCACTTTCATGCTCGGGAGTTATATGTGAAATTGGAACAGTTTACAGATGTAAAGTGAGTGGAGAGGCTGCTACTTGTTTCTTGTATTTTTATCCAGGGTGTGACTAGGACTGTATAAAAGCTTAAATTCAATTTTAATTTATTTTAGACTAGATCTATAAGGTTTGCATTTTGAGAAGAAAACTTCTTTTGCATTATTAACTACTTTGGGATTAAAATACATACATTCATTTTTACTGTCTCAATTTATCTTCTTTTTGAAACAGTACATCCAAGATGTAGCTCAGCAATGCTGCCGCCTGCCTCACAAGCACAAGGTCCCAAGTTCTATCCCTGGTACCAAACAAACAAAAAAACTTATTTAAATGTTACAATAAGGAAACTTAAACTTTCATTGGACTGGGGATTTAGCTCAGTGTTGCCACCATCTGCCTTGCAAGCTCAGGGACCTGGGTGTGATCCCCAATACCAAAAGCAAAAACAAAAACAAAAACAAAAACGTATTTAACGTCTGCCGTTATCTTAGAAATGAATATTCTGCATTATCTCATTCCTCCACTAATAATTGTGATTAAGAGGTTTAAATAGAGTACTTAACAGGCTATTACATGATGACAAATTTTATTTTATTTGGTACTGGGGATCTAACTTGGGACCTTGTTCTTGCGAAGCAGGCAGAGGAACCACTGAGCTAAATCCCCGGACCTGATTACAAATTTTAAAAGGAAGTTTTGGGTGAGAAAATCTAGCTGTCATCATATATGTATAGGTAGGAAGTCTAAACAGCATAGTATTTGTCAACATATAGATATGAATCTTGGTCATTTGTTTTGATATCATAATATACACATATAAGACATGAACTTTTAAATTTTGTTTTTAAATGGTTTTTATAGTAAGATGTACATAACAGAAAATTTACCATTGGGCCAGGGATTTAGCTCAGTGGTTCTGTTCTGGTGCCTGCCTTGCAAACGCAACGACCTGAGTTCAATCCTTGGTACCAAAACTAAAAGAAAGAAAAGAAAACTTATCATTAACTATTTTAAGTATACCATTCTGTGACATTAAGTACATTCACATTGTTGTGCCATTTTTAAATATGTTTTGGGTAATGGTAGGGGAGAGTAGGTGGTCTGTGAGAACAGTGTACCTTATGTCCTGAAATGTGGCATATTTGTCCATATTTTGTTTCTGTTATATGCAGAAATGCACACACACAAACAGATAGTTACTCCCTGCAATAATTGTTCTGCTATTTCATTTTCCTAGTTTTACGACTTTTGTATAATTGTCTTAAATTTTTCTACAGGATTGTTGAGGTGTATGAAATTAAGAAATTCAGGTAGTAAACAAATTCCAGGACCCAAATTATGAGGAGAAGTTTAGATTTATTTTTAAATTAGTATTTTAAGTTTAGGAATGAACTTTTCATTCTAGAATTATTTCTTATCCATTGCTACTTTGCTATTTAGAAACCTGCTTTCTCACTTGATTTGTTAGGGAAATGTGCCCCTCATATTGACAAATATTATTTCCTCATATTACTGTTTGAATTTTAACTTTGGTGTTTCGGCATTTTTTGAGATTATATACTGAATTTTAAATACTATATCTAAATGATATTTTAAACAGCTCCCGGGTATATACTTAAAGTTTCTATACTTCCAAGATTAATATTCTTTCATTTCATTTTTTGATAGTATTTTGGTATTTATACTTTATATACTTGGGCTTTTGTAACAGTATTAGCTTTGTTAATACATTTTATGCCCTGAAATAAATGATACACATAAATTTACTGGAAATTTAAAATGAAAGTATCCTGCCAAGCACGTGGCCTATACGTGTAACCCCAGATACTCTGGAGGCTGAAGCAGGAAAATTGCAAGTTAGAGACCAGTCTAGAAAATTTAGGGATTCAGCAAAACTCAGGACTGTTTCAAAATTTTAGAAACTTAAAAGGGCTGTGTAGATCAATGGGAAAGCACCAGATTTGTTTAGTAACTCACATAGCACAAAACATAAGAATGCAAGACCTGGGATAAATTTGGCTTCAATTTTAGGAACCATGTAAGATATGGATGAGGGAGGCACTGTACAGAGAGGTCACTGGAACGTGTGCCTGCGTGAGGAGAATGAAAGGAAGATGAGCTTTCTAAGTGAGCACAAAATTTCAGAGTAAGTTGGAGTAGTGAAAGTTTGAGTGCTTAATGGGTGTTTAAATTTATTTTTGATAGACACAATAATTAACAGATTCATTACCTGGTTCATAAAGACGAGTCCTGAACTTTCCATATATATTAGTTTTTGTTGTATGCTTATTTTTAAGTTCCACAAAGGATGTGTGGAGTACCTATTACATACAGTTTTCTTAGTGGCATTAAAATATAAACTTGGGTGAATCACTATTTTAGAGTTTATTTGAGCAGACAATGATTCATGAGTTAGGTAGCTCCTTATCACAGTGGGCGGGAGACAGTGCAAGGAAGCAAAAGAAGTGTTTGGTCAGGAGCTGGCTCTTTGTGATTGGCAGCCTCTGGAGGTTGCTTGGTAGTTTCTGGTTTACTCACCCTGAGTTGGGCTTTAGCAGGCTTAGAGGAACATACCTATCTCAGCGTAATTGTCTTCCAATTTTTTGTAGCAGTGCAGACACTAAAGTTATATGATATTTACATAAAGATGTTATTTATTTAAAATGTTTAAATTTTATTAAGCTGATGAGTGTGCCAGTCAGTCATTTTAAACAAAGAATGGGCCTTACATACATTTCACATCTATGGTATGTAAAGCTCTTTTGTACTTAGGGATCGAAAGTAGAGAAGAATCGAAGAGAATTAGTTTTTAATCTACGATTCCAAACCAATGGTAAAATTACTCATCCATAAATGCAAATGTTAAGAAAATGAAATAAGGTCTAAGGAAATGGAAAATAATCTTATTTTCCATATGTTTTTTATTTATTTTTGTTTTTCTTGCTTATATAGTTCACACTGGCTGAACTCACACTATGTAGCCCATGCTGGCCTTGAACTTGCAGCAGTCCTCCTGCCTCAGCCTCTGGAGTGCTATAGGCCTGCAACACCACACCCAGTTTCAGTGAACATTTAACTCACACTGTTGTGAGTTGCTCACTGTCACAGTAGTTTGAGCTGTTAGGTACAGACAGTATTTCCTACAGCACTCCCCACCACGACACATCTGCACGCACTCGATGTAGGAGCTGAGCTCCACAGAAGTCTAAAGGTTACGTAATTTCATAGTGGCAGAGTTCTTTAGATTTCACTCCCAGCCTAATTCTTATAAATTCCTTCATTTGAGGCCAGTTATACACAAATACTAATTTTTTGAAACAAATGAGGGAAGGTATATGAGCATGTTTAGGATTTTTTGGGTTATTTTAGGAAATATTTAATGTTTTGTAATTCATAAGCAATACAAGATATACATATTCACTATGATACATATAATAAGATGCATAATGTCTCACTGCAAAGATTACAGGCATGTACTGCCTCACTTATGTTCAAAGAGTTTTTCTTTAATTTTGCATTTTGGCTAAACTGATTCACAAGGTAATGTGGAATTTAGGCAACTCAGAACTTCTGTTAGTGTTGGCCTACTCGGGATTTGGGTTCATAAATTAGAAATGAGAGTGTCTTCCTGATCCACGGTTAGAATCTGGCTGTGCTATTACTGTGGTTAATATTTTCATTTTAAAATACTCTTTTGAATTTGAAAGCATCCTATCATTTTGAATTTTGACATTTGAAGGTTATCACTTTTTATATTACTATGCTACCATTCAAGTAGTGAATAGTCACAGCTGGGAATTACCCAGTAAAATCTTAGGTTTTGTACACTGATATATTAAATAATTTTGCATCTGATATGTTACTGTGCTTAAATCAAGGTGTGTGTACAGCGTGAATCATCTGTGACTCAGTTGGATTAGATTCATAGAATAAAATACTGGCTTAAGAAATTATAGTACCTGCATGAGATTGACATAATTAGGGGGTGGTTTTTTTATGCTTCTTTCTTTTAAAACTATGAGACACATGAATATTTCCCAATACTTAGGGGTAAATTTTTCTTTTAAAAATATTTGAAATGTGGCTGGATAAAAGCTTATTAACACAAAATGAGTAACTGTGAATATAAACCTGTCCTACCAGATACAACTTACCTAGAATTAATTTTTACTTTCCCTCCTTTTTTTTTTTTGCCAACATAAAGTGGCTAAAAGCCAAGGTAAGAGACATTACTTATTTGATCCACAGTATTTCCTCTACATTGATAGAGGCTGCAGAGCCACTAAAATGTGAAAACTCTTATGTCTGTCTGCTTTTCCCTGTAGGATTTATATAGATTAAGTATACTCAGTTCAAATCAGCAACATTTAGCTTGGCTGTGTTAATATATCAAAGATATATTGACATTTGCATTTATATAGGAACATTAATTTTGCTAACATTGCTTTGCTCATTTGTTGACAGTTGCCTTGCTTTCTTTGACTTACAATTAGGAGGCTTCCCAGACTTCACATATCACTTTGTTACTGAATTGTCAAGATAAAGATTTTTTTTCAAATGGACATTTTACCAAATTAACAGTGAGATCTGTAGTTTATGTACACATCTCAAAAATTTAAGAAACCTAATATTTGAGTGTAAAAATGTTTTATCTCAGTGAACTTATTTACAATAAAATAATGTGTAAAATCCAATACTCTGACTTGTATTTTTGTCATAAATTGAAAAGAATGGTGCAATATAGCAGGAAAAACAGAAGGCAGGTGGTTCCTTCGCTTTTTAAAATGTATCAAAGTCTTATTAAAACTGTCTGGGAATCCTTACTTCACATTCTGATATTAAAAAAATAATACATGGTGTTAAAACACCAAGAGAACAATTTGATATAAAAATACAAGCTTTCCTTTCCACATTTTAGCATGGAAATAACCAGCCTGCAAGAACTGGCACACTGTCAAGAACAAATCCTCCTACTCAGAAACCACCGAGCCCTCCCATGTCAGGCCGGGGAACACTGGGGTAAGAATTCAACTGCATTTTACAAAAGAATTGCTATGCTAAAAGAAATCTCTGTGATTTAAGTAAATGTATGGATCCTGTCCTGAGACCCCTGCTGTGTGACATTTTGGCTTTTATTTTTCTGAGCAGAATCCAAGATGAATCTACTTGCTTTATGAGTCCCTATAGACATGTGTGTTAGAAAAGTTTCTTATCCTTGTAAATGAGCATCATTTATTTCTTTGTCCTCTTTTTATTTGGGACAGGGTCTCACTATGCAGTTCATTCTGGCCTTGAACTCACCTGCTTCAGCCTTCTGAGTGCTGGGATGACAGGAGTACGCCACCATATTTGTCTCTCTCTTTTTTTGTACTAGGGATCAAAGGGCGCTCGCTCTCCCCCCTCTGCTCCCCCTCATCTCC